CGCGAAGCCAGCGCCGCTGTCCCTGCCCGCGGGCGGTGCCGCGGCCTGCGACCAACAGACCGGTGCCCCGCGGGCCGCCGGGGTCTGAGGGGCCGCCGGGGCCACCTGGCACCCAAGAGGCCATCCCTGGCTGGGCTGCCAGGCCAGCGTCGTCGCTGGCATCCCCGGCATGGCGGTGGTAGCACCGCAGGCGTCATGCAGCAGGCAGCGCCCGGCACGCCGGGCTCTCCTCGGTTTAGGCGAGGCGGTGGTCCAGCTGGTGTGGGGCAGTTACAACTGAACTCATGTTAGTCTCTGCTGTGGTAGTCTGGCCTGAATCGACACCCTGCTGTGGGACTGCTGACCCCGAGAGGTGCTGCTGTGGGGCAGGAGGAGGGTCGGTGGCTGCTTCTGGTAGCGGTTCCTGGTTAGGCTGGGTTACGGGGTTCATCAGGCCCCGGGGCCATCCGGTGCGCCCTCCGCAGCATCACCCGTGGCGATGGGGCCGTGTTGTGTTGTGGTCTTCCCTGCAGCTCCCGTGGTGTCACGGGTGACACAGCGATGTCTGATGTGTCGGTGTGGTCAAAAGGAAGGTGATGGGAACATCCACAGGCATTGGTGTCAATTTTTTCTTACAGATACTAGAGCTTAGGGAGGTTTATTAGGTTCAGTTCAGCAGGTAAGGGCCTGAACCTGTGGTTTGTCTTTCAGCGACAGCTCTGTTGCTTGAAAGATCAAATCCTGAACAGCTGCTGTTCAAAGTGTTTTTCAGGCTCAATGCTCTTTATGCTGGTCTAAAATACTCCATACACGAAGGATTGTCCTTACTTACAGGTGTTAACAAAGCAATGCCCTGTTGCTCATCAAACCCAATGGTCCAGGTGCTGTAGGCACGTTATGGTGCTGAAGTCAAGCCTAAGGACAGCTTAGTGCCTCGCGCGTTCCTTGCCATTTGCTGGAGTGGTGTTTAGGCAGCGGTGAGACTAACACAAAAAGACAGTAGTGAGCCTGGCCTCAGAGCTCTTTTCTCTTTTATTTCCCTCTCTTGGAATCTGTGTCAGAAACAGTGGTAAGCCACGAACCAGTAATTTCATGAAGCTACTTTGGCCCTGTCAGTGTTATTATTCTAAATATCAGTGTATCTGTGTGTGTGCGTGTACTGTCCTGTCCACAACGATGCATGAAAACATCTGTTAACTACCAATAACATATAGAATGCTCTTGATTTTTTGCCTTGGTGAGGAAATGATGTTATTGATTGGTGGATATTTACATTTCTGGTAATTAATTCAGTTTTCCAAAATTTTAGGGAATGTAGAAGTTGTCAGCCAAGAGTCTATCCATCTGGTCAGGCCAGTGAGCGCACTGTGTCATTTCCTTGGGAGGAAGACATTCACAACAGGTGTATTTATTCTTACTGTTGCTGTTTATTTGAAAGCGTGTTGGAGTTTTTGGAGCACAGCCCTGTTGCTCAGGAGAGGTACAAACAGGTAACTGCGAGACTGTCCTAGTCCCGAGTGCTGTCACCCGATGGACAGCTTTCATCTACAGCAAGTCTGTCACTTTAATAGCCAAGGGAGGTATTGCTGCTGTTCTGGAGACAGATTGGGTCAGCGTGTTGGGAGCGTGTGCCCAGCATAATAACAGTCTCTAGTATTTTCATTTCAATCGTGTAAAAAAGGTGACTTCAAACACAGCAGCAAAATCAGTAGCTAACCTCATAACTTTTTTTTTTCCCCCTTTTGGAGTCAGTTGAAAGGACTTCCTCTTATTCCTGTTTATTTTACCAGGAAGGTTACGAGAAGAGATCCTACAGCTGACTGATTAGTGATTCCAGCAGAGGGGTGGAGATTAAAAATGTCAAAAATTACTACCGAACTTCTTTTGGGCTCCGAAAGATCGAGACGCTGAAGTAAGTGCAGACAGGCCCATGGAAAATTCCAGCTGAATTCAGCCTGGGCGATCCTTTTTTTGTCTTTCTTCCCCTAAGCATTTTTACTGAAAAAAGAGAGACGGTTACAAAGCACAGAACGGGAGATGACATTCTCAGTGCAGGATCAGTGAGCGCTAGGGGAGCTGCATTCACTAGATAGGTTATCGGCAGTTACCACCTCTTTTCTCCATTTGTATTGTATATATGCTGCCACCTTCTTTCTGTAAAACTCCTTAAGGCTGGATCCTGATTTCCTGACGCTAAGGTATACTCCCTATCCCCAAAACACTTCTGTCTTTGCTAGCCATTGCTTAATGTGAATAAGAGAATCTCTTCTGGCCTGGATTTCAGAGGGTTTTACAAATATTTTTGGCATTATTTGCGCTCCCTTTTCCTCTCCCTCCGTCACTTTCCATCTCCTCTAAATCGAATTATGTTAGTACTGCAAACATTGCAGAGAGGGAGAATAAACTCTGACACACTTAGAAACCACTAAAAACAGTTCTGTTGCTCAGGTCCTTAACAGAGGTCATTGAAAATACGTGTCTTTCCAAATGTTTAATACAGTAGAATTTTGCTTTTCCAGAACTGGTCAATCCAAGTGACTCAGCTGGCCGATTTCTGGCTGGTGCCTTTGTTGTTTTTATTGCTGATGTAAGAGTTTTGGGTTTCATGTGTATTCTTTAAAGTTATTTCTTTTAGTTTGTCCTGTGCTAAAATAATTGGTTTTAGAGAGAAACTCAAAAGTTTATCTGAAGAGTATAGGCCGCAGTAATCTGGGTGACAGTGACGTTGAGATGTTTGAAGTAGTGAATTTCTAGAGTGTGGCTTTTCCCATGCAGCTTCGTACCGTGATTTTGAAGGGTTATATTTCAGAATGTCCATTTGGAGAACACTGTGTTGAGTTTCTCCCCAAAATGACACAGTAGTCGCAGTCAGCTTTGCAGCCAGCTGAATTCTGTTCAACCTTTGTTATGTGCTTTGACTGGTTGGTTAGGCTTCGGAGATGACAACTGAAGAAGTGGTCTTGCTTCCTAATTTTGTTTATTTCATTTATTCACACTTCATTTGTATTTAGAAGGCCTTTTTTTACTAATCATTAGAGATGGAGGTTCGTTTGTTAAAGGAACTCAGGCTTGTGTCCTCAAGAGATGTTGGCTGCCAGGACTAGGAGCTCCCTTTGGAGCTCAACTAAATGATCTAATCAGATCTAAATGACCCTTCTTATAATATGCAGTTTTCACTTTCTTACAGAGAAAGGGTATGTTTTTCTTCCTCGCAAATATTGTGCTAGTTTGTCTTTCAGGACAGAATGCTTCTGTTTTGGTGGCAGCCTAGGGATTTTGTTAGGTAGATTTCCATATTTGCCGTTGGAAGTTTTTGCAGCAAAATTCACTGTAAAAGAAATGGAAAAATTGCTTTTTTTGTAAAGTTAGTTCTTTGAAAACAGCCAAATGATTTGGGGACCTACTCTGTACTTGGCCTGAACTTAACTTCTAATGCAGAGAAGAAAAGTTTTGAGCCAGATGAGCAAGCCGATCCAATTTGCTGCATCGTTGTGTGAGTGCAAGTGTCAGCATGAAGTGAGGGGGAGGACAGGACTAGCCTTTTGGAATCACTGTGGTCTTATATTGCTTGCACCAGTTGTGAGATGGTGATTTCTAAAAAATGAGTGAAATAATGAAGGTAGTGCATTCTACGGACAGGGTAGACTGATGGCGTAGTGAATAAGTGCCTTGTATTGCCACAGCTTGTTTTGTTGAATTTACGTTGCAAAGGAATAAAATACCAAAATTCTTAGAGATGTAGTGATTTTTTTCTACAAACAAGAACTTCTCCGGTGATTCCCTGCTCACAGCCAGCTCTGTTATCCATAGGAGGTTTATCTGGATTGCAGGTTAATTGTACTGCAAATACTTGGGTAGACTTGAGTCTCTGGTGGTGTCTGTTAGCTCAGGCACAGCATCTTTTCCATGAATGTGTGCTTGCAGTCCAGAATGCTGCAGACAAGAAAAATCAGGTTTGGTCAGATTTACCCAGTGAGTTGTGCTAGACTGAGAGGTGCCACCAGGTGGGACCTTGTATCCTGTGAAAGTCAGCCCTTGTTATTCCACTGAACTGCAGGTAGTTCATGTTCTGTTTTGTTTTCAGCCTGTCCAAGCTGCAACTGAAGACTGGAGACTTAGACCCGCGTTTGTTTTCCCGTCTGAGGCATCTGCAGAAACTAGATCTCTCTGATAATTTACTGGACAAATTTCCCAACAGTCTAACCCTGCCTGATCTGCGTGTCCTAAACTGCAACAACAACAAACTGGAAGATGTAACTGCTCTGAAACAGTTCCCTCTGCTTGAGGAGCTAACCTATGAGAACAATGTATACTTGACAGTGAGTTACCTCCCATCCTTACAAGCTAAGCATTAAATGGAGGGGGAAACAAACAGCAGTTATGCCTAGTTCTTCTATATTGTTCTTAGGCAGCAAGTGTTAGGGCATCTGAGAAAGCAGCCAGTCTTTTTGCACCCCTTCACCGGTTTGCGCCACTGTTTCCCCATCTGCAGAACTGACTTGCCCAAAACCACTCAAATATTAAAATCTGGGTATCTTGAACTCCTGAGTCTCCAGGCCAGAGTCCCGTCTTAGGTAGCCGATCAGGCAGGATATCTTATGCTCATGCTTGTGTAAAATACAGTAATGACTGTGTAGAGATGTCCTTCGTATATGTTAGTTTTAGTGCCCCTTGTGCTCTGGAAGAGCAGGCTTGGTCCTCTGATGAGGGGTTAAACTTGGTGATTAGTCTAGTTTACGTTTTCTGACTTCTCCCAAGAGGCACTGCTGACTGCACAGTTTAAGCATCCGAAACTGTAATTTTACTTGTGCTTTAAACTGGCATCAGCCACCATCGCCGTCCCCAGATGCTTATTTGCTGTTGCATGCTGGCAGAAGTGTATGTGTGGCTGTATGGTAAACTGGATTGGGGAACTGGTCTGACCTAAAACGCACCTGACCCAAAGAAGCCCTGCTGGTGTTCATTTACAGAGGCAGGGCAGGCCTTCCTCTGCATTGGATGCTCACTCAGAGTTCAAGGATGCAAACAGAATACCCTGCATTGCACTCAGGCGGGAGCAGATGAGCCTGGTTACACCGCCACCACCTTGTGTTGGATGTTAGTACTGCCTAAGTGTGAGGCAGGTCTCCTGTCTGCAGTTTAAGATCCCAACTCGTAGGAGAACGTTAATTTACAACTAAAAGGTGATATTC